ATGGATCTCCCTCCTAAATTGTTTTGAACGGTTTTCCTGTTCTGGTTTTTCTAGCATTAACTTTCCAATGTCAATCGCTTCCCATCGTTGCGACAAGAGCCATTTCAAAATTGATGTTCATTTTCACCTTTTTTTATTAATAGTCCCTGTGTTCTTTTGTCTGAAAGAATTGAAGATGATTAGGTTTTTATTGATCAGCTGGCTGTTCCATGTCATACAGTAAATCCTTGCTAAAAAACGAACACCGTATAATGTCGGCTCTGAGAAAAAAGACGTGCTTACGCGTACAAAAAAACAATACGTACTAAGCTTTAAGCTAACTTCTCTGTATAGAGTTAGACCAGCAAAGTCAACAAAAAGAAGGTTTTACAACCTGTAACAGGTGAACACAGAGTCCAGTCGATAATTTTTTTATCACTCACTACCCGGGTTGACCTCCATACACCGAAAATCGTTATCATACAATTCCATACATCAAGTGTATGGAAAAATGCTTGTCATACAATTTTCATACAATTTCTAAAAATGGTTGAAAACTGGTATAAACTTATTTCTGTGGATGTTTGATTCTTATAAAACAGTCTGGTGATAAAAACTGAGGTTCTCGTTTTTTTGAAAAAAATGCTTATCATACAATTCCCATATATGGGAATTGTATGACTGGCATTTTTTTGATGGCGACACAAAAAATTTGTCAAGTAATTTTGAAAATTTGGCCCAAAAAATTTTTTGTTTTTTTTTTCAACCGCAAATCGAATTTCGTACGCAAACAAACATTTTTCGAAATTTTTTTTTGCATGCAAAATTTAATATTTTGTGTGCATAACGTAGTCCTGGATACAATAAAATTGGCTTTTATTTTGTTTTCACTTAAATTTTTTTTTCAAAAACGCTGAAAATTCCTATTTCTTTTGTATGGGGTGTTAAAGTAAGCCTTGATCAATGTCTGATAACTTGAAAATTCAAAAATTTAAAATAATCATCATTAAAAAATTTTGCCAAAAAATAAAAGTTCGTTACTTTTGTTATATCAATTGTGAAAAACATCCAAATTCAGGTCGTTTGCTATGGATTGTAAATGCAAGACCGTCCAACCTTTGGTGTTTTGAGTAACCAAGGTCTTTGTCACTTGTGTTCGGTTGCGAACACAACCAAAAACTTTTCAGAAACTAAATTTTGAAAGAAAAAATCAAAATTTTTGGTTTATGGAAAAACACCTATCATACAATATTCATTTATGGAAAAATCTTTATCATAGAGATTTCATACAATGTTCTGTACGTATGGCATTGTATGGAATTGTATGACAAGAAGTTTTTCATAAATGGAAATTGTATGATTAGAAGTTTTGGTCAACCCGGGTATGCTGTGCTGTGCTTCTACCGATGTGAATGATGTTGATATGATGTTGATCCTACCTTGTTGATATGAAGTACGAACAAGGCAGTTTACGTTTAAAAAAACTTGCAGTGGGAAAATTAGTTTCCCGATATCAAAAAAGACATAATCAAGTTTTCATCCAAAAAAATAAAACTGAGAAAACAGACCGTGTGGACCGAAGGAATCCGGTTTCAGACCGAGTGGACCAACGAAATTCGGGTTCAGACCAAGTGGACCGAAGGAGTCTGGTTTAGGAACGTGTGGACAAAATGAACCCTGGTTCAGACGGTGCGGGCCGAAGGAGTCCGGATTCAGACCGTAAGGTTTGTTGATTTGGACCTTGTGCAAACAAAGTTTCGGCACAAGACCCTTTGGACCATTTAATTTAGTTTAAGCCCAAAGAAGTTCAACAATAACAGCGTGCACAAAAGATTAAAATTGCGGGTGATCAGGACTCGGAATCAAACTTATGAAACCAATAAAAATCTGGGCTTAGACTGCGGTAACAAAATCCTGACTGCTGTAGGTTCCAAGAAAGTCTGTTTTGTCTGTTTTTAACTTTGCTCACATGTTTAATTATATGTATGTATGTATTAATAAATGAGTAAGTTTATATATTTCCGTTTGATATAAGTGTGTATGTTTTTGAAAGTGTATGACGTACGTATAAAAGTAGGTATCTATGTTTGTGAATATCTATGTATGTAAGTATGTAAGTTTGTATGTATGTATGTCTGTATGTCTGTAAGAAGGTTTCATTTCATTGTTTTATATCTCTCTGTTTTTGTAGTGACCATTTTGTTATTGCGCCAAACATTTGCTTAAAAATTTTTGGAACCATGTGTAGGCCTTCTCGTGGCGTTCCTGTAGTTTATCAGCAAATATGCTGATCTAGCTAAGTGCACAATAAAAACACATATTTACTGGATAATTTCTCTGCATGCACCTTTTCACAGTTTTGCGAGAAAAATCTGGCAAAAAATTCATTTCTCAATCTGCTCAAATCGAGTGTCGACCATACTCGAGGTATGTTTCGACCCTGCTCGAGAAATCTTTCGACCGTGATCGAGGTATGTTTCGATCGTGCTTGAGTATGTTTCGACCGTGCTCGAGGTATGTTTCGACCGTGCTCGAGGTATGTTTCGACCGTGCTCGAGTTATGTTTTGACCATGTTCGAGGTATGTTTCGAACTTGTGCTCAATCCAAACCCCTGTCTCGACTATTCTTTTTTTGGTCATGCACTGTCGTGTGCTCGACTTAAATAGTAGAACTATATATTGAGCACCTCGACCCGGGTCGTAGTGCTAACTTTTTTAATAACTCTTCCCCATGAAATGTTGTAATTGAGCTTACTGTTTTGCTTATTTGTAAATATGTTTAAGCTTTGCTCTGACTTTGCACACTTACGTTAAGACTTTGCTGGCTTTGACCTGTGTGGCAACTATCTGGTCAGTGTCATCTGGACTCATATTTGTGCAAATTTATGCAAAAAGCACAAAAAGTCAGAAAAGAAAACCTTTTGAGACAAAAAAAACTTTTGAAATACCACTCCCCTATGAAATGTTGTTATTGAGATTACTGTTTTGTTTAATTGTAGATTTGTTCATGCTTTGCTCTGACTTTGCAGACTTATATTTAGACTTTGCAGGCTTTTACCTGCGTTGCGACTATGACTTTTCGGTCCCCACGCGGATCTTGTTCAGACTTTACAGACTTCATGTTCAGATTTTGCAGACTTATTCTCAGACTTTGCAGACGAATGTTCAGACTTTGCAGACTTATGTTTAGACTTTGCAGAATTTGACCTGCGTGCCGAATATGAATTTTTGATCCCCACGCGGATCGATTCAGAGCTAGCAGACTTTATATTCAGACTTTCTTTGCAGACTTTATGCTCAGACTTTGTGGACTTATGTTCAGACTTTGCAGACTTGTGCTCAGACTTTACAGACTTTGACCTGCGTGGCGACTATGAATTTTCGGTCCCCACGCGGATCGATTCAGACTTATTAAATCTGAACATAAAACCACGAACTCGACCCGAGCGGCGCCTCATTAAAATCAAATCACTCTGAAGCTTCTTCGCGTCTTTTTGGTTATACGAATGCATATTTTTACGAATTCAATTTTCGAGCTGTAATGGAAATCGCAAAAGCGAGTGAAGAAGAGACAAACAATGAAAAACCACTAGCGTGCAATAAGCAGCGGTTACGAAATTATAAGTTATATTTATAAGTTTATAAGTTATTTTCATCACTAATTTTTGCGTAATCCGCAGAATAAATGGTGAAACATGAGTAAAACTTGTTTTGATGATAAGTCTTCAATTAAATATCTGCAAGATAAACTGCTTCTTAGCAATCCTAAATGTATACGGAAGGAAATCAAATGAGGATTTTTTACGTTAAAAAATGCCCGTTGGAGATGCCAAGGAACCAAAAGCGGATTTGAAGTTGGAGTATGGAAAGATATCTCTCGGACATCCATTTGACGACATTGTTTTGTTTTCTTTTTCATGAGCTTACTAAAGGAGTTCCTTTAATTTTTGCCAAAATGAACCCATATACAATTGTCGCCTGGAACAACTATTTTTGGGAGGCATATGCATGGGTTCGACATCAAGATCCGAGCCAGATTAGGGACCTGGAAAACATGTAGAAATCATTCGATCGTATCTGGAGGAGTGGGATTTTAGAGGTTTCTTCATTCAAAAGAAATGTTTTTTACGCAGTTCCCGACCGAACCGAGGGAACCCTGTGGCTTATTCCACGGCAACAATTTTTCCGCGAAAATTTGTGATTTCGGACAAGTGGAAGGCATACAAAAATATCATCGACCCTAACGGCTACCACTGTGAAACTGTTAGTGACTGTCAAAGTTTTGTCGATCCTATTACCAGGGCTCATATCCAAAGCTTTAATTCAACCTGGAAACTTGCAAAACGGCGGAACAAGCGACAGTTGTGACTAAGTCGTTGGCATCTTGGACTCATATTTGTGCGATTTTATGCAAAATGCACAAAAAGTCAGAAAAAAAACCCTTTTGAGACAATATTGCAGCCGTCCTCATTTTTATATACTTTTCTTGCTCATTTCAATTTTTCTAAATTTTTTGGGGTGGTCATAACTGAAAAGACTCGCGTCTTCTGTATAATAAGTTCAGTTGCGCCGGATAAGAAGTTTTGCAAAATGGCCCTAGTTGCACAACTTTTTCGTCGCAAAACTATCAAAAAGTAAAAAAAAGTAGGCTTCAGCTGATCAGGAGCAACTCCATTGTGGCTATTTTGTTAATATGATTCAAGCAAGAACGAAATATGTGGACTTCACTGGCTTTTACCATTTCCTGACTTTGAAAATTGATTTCAGACCGTCAATAATATTTAACAATATCTTGAAGCTTTCAGTTGAAGAAACAACAATCGTGATTTTTCAATTACTTGATACGACCCGACTTACAGTTACATATTTTCAGCATGAAACTTATGCCACAAAGTTTGCAAATAGGCGAGTTCTTATGAACCGAAACTTAAAGAAACGTTAGTAAGACTTTCAATTTTCTCAAAAAATGATATAAAAATTTTTTCAAAACGAAATAATCTTAAACTTAAAATTTTATCAATTTGTGAGTCCCTTGAGTTCCACCGTGCAGAAAAAAAAAGATATCATTTTCGCTCGAGCCTAGAAGATGAGAATATCTGGTGTACACCCAACTCAATCTCGAAGTTTCTCGGCTTTGCGGTGCGAACATATCTCGCATTGTACGCTTGGTTCCACTCTTTTTTTCTCGCTCTTCGCTCTCGTCTTTCAATTCTATCTTCCCTTTTTTCTCCGAGTAAAAATCCATTTTCATCGCGTTTCAAGTCGGCAGTTTTGCGTCGCCTTTGACGGCGGTTCGACCCCCGCTCCGCTTCATCTTCTTCCTCTTCGTCTGAAAGGCGATCGTATCGTGAGGGGCTGTTCGATATTCCGGCGCTGCTTGTGGTTTCACTATCGCCATTATTCTAAATCAAAACAAGAATCGGTAGTTGCTGTGGAAGTGCCAAAGAATGTCCTGACAACAATACTAACATCAATTGCAAGAAAAAAACAGACTACTATTGTTCCCGATGGGTTTTTTGGTGGACTTTGATTTGAAGTTAGGTTTTAAGAATCAGACCATGCCCAGCAAGAAAAATTAACACCTGTACAATCAGATAGAGATATCGTTTTCTCAATGGTGGATGTCGTCAGTTTTTTCTCCGCTCCATTCGGTCCTTTCAATTTTCTTGTATTCTTTAAAATTGTACCAAACTCGACCCCGCGCGAGCTTTATTTGAAGTACCAGAAATTTCTCAATGCTTTTTTGGCACTTCATTGACGAAAGTTCAACAAACTACCTCAAAGCATCGAAATGAAAATTGCGAATAAATGCTCCGAACTAACCCTGGTCGCTTCTTCATCACTGTCTCCGTCATTGGCATGTAGCTGTGCTGCCAGAATGTCATCTGGATTTAGACTTCCGTGCGCGTCCAGTAGTTTCACATAGTACACAGACGACTTCCGGTCTCTCTTCTGAGCAAAGGTCTCTTCTGGGAAAAAAAATTCTCAAGCTTTGAAAAACATTTAAAATTTGAAGCTACAGCGAAAAAAGATAGATCTAACAACAGGATTTTTGTCGAAGGGGCAGGAGTTTGACCATGTTTTTATAAATTGTCCGAAGTGACTTTTGACACTTTGTCAAAACACTATAAAGGCTCTCTTCTGCTAAGTTTTTCTGCAACGGAGTCGAATTTTTGAAGTTTTTTGCACGCTCCTCTCGCAGAGTTAGTATATATAGACGTCTATGGTGCCTTTAGAATACTTTAATGTCGACTGGTTGATAATGAATGTCATAAAATAGTTCAAAAGAGGACCCTTGAGGTGGTTCGGGATCCAATCCCGTCCTCCTCTTCCCCCTGAATCCATGATGCCGTAAGCTTGTTCAAAAAAATTTTCTGGACACCCATGGAAAATTGAATCAACCGGAGCTAGTTACTTTTGAACTCAGTCGTGCGCAAACTCAATCAAAACGCGCCCCGCACTGGGTTTTCATGGATAATAATCGATTATAATGGATTTTAGTGACAAAAATATTGACAATATAATCGATTATAGACTCCAGTTTTAAAACTTAAATATATTTACAATGGGTTAAAATCAATTTTTTGTCATAACCAAACGATCCATGGAAAACGATTTTTTGCTCCACAAAATCCATAATTATCGATTATTTTCTGCAGAAAAATCTTTTACTCAGCTTGTTTCATTTTTTCTGCTAAAATATGACAAAGCAAAGGTATTTTCAAACTGAATATTATGTTCTGAATTGAAATCAGAAACACAATTATTAAAACTTTTACCATATGTTCTGACTTGAAATCAGAAACATAATTCTTAAACTTTTACCACATGTTCTGACTTGAAATTATGTGTTTGCTCGGTTGATAAAATATCACCAAAAGCAAACATTACAGCATGTGTTGTTTCTTTCTGATTGGTTTAACCAACAGATGGAATGCTGAAAATATCAAAATCTATGGTATATAAGCCAAGCGAAAATATACCAAAGATCACTTCATCACTTTCTCAAATCTCATAACTACTCTCATATTGAGACCCCCAACCATCCTAATAACCAAAATCTCAAATCTCTATCTCGATAACTATCAATCCATACCCTAATGTCTCTTGATATAAAATTGATGTGTGTCCTCTATATTTGAAATAATATACTTATTTACGAGTGAAAGAAACTTTGTCTGTTGAATAAGAATAGGAAAGTCTTAGCAACATTCAGAAAGACCCCTTGTTCTAACTAGCTGCGATTTGGTCGATCGCATAAGTTAAATCAAGTTAGATTGGAATAATTGGTGCGACCAGTGAGGCACACAAGTTTCAAAAAATTCACTCAATTTTCAAAATCTCAAAAAACTGAGATTATCAAAATTTCAAAAAGTTGAAAATTTCAAAAGTTGAAATTATCAAAATTTCAAAAATTGAAATTATCAAAATTTCAAAAAGTTGAAAAGTTCGAAAATTGAGATTTCAAAAAGTTGAAAATTTAAAAAGTTGAAATTATCAAATTTCACAAAGTTGAAATTATCAATTTTCACAAAGTTGAAATTATCAAAAATTCAAAAATTGAAATTATCAAAATTTCCAAAAGTTGAAAAGTTCAAAAATTGAAATTATCAAAATTTCAAAAAGTTGAAAATTTCAAAAGTTGAAATTATCAAATTTCAAAAAGTTGAAATTATCAAAAACTCAAAAATTGAATTTACCCAAATTTCAAAAAGCTGAAAATTTGAAAAGTTGAAATTATCAAATTTCAAAATTTCAAAACTTTAAATTGGATATCTTAACTTGAAAAAAGTAAGATGGCCGATCACCCAATCACCCATCCTAACTTGTCTTTTGTATCATTCTCAGGAAATGATTCAGACCTAAACGCAAAAGCCTTTTGGACTTCAGTTGAGAATAAAATTGTATTCTCACTAGGGCAACGACCCACAGACGCTGGCGCTCAGCCTAACTATGATCACAGACAAAAAAGTTTGTTTGGATCTTTATTAACAGAAACAGCTCTTGAGTGGTATACTGATGAAGTAACTAATACTACTACTTGGGCTGAACTAAAAAATCTTTTTCTTAAAAGGTTCACTGATGGTAGAGATCGTTTCAAGCATCGAATTGATGCTGAAAATGCCACTCGACAAGAGGGCGAATTAATAAAAAATTACTTCCATAGGAGTAAAACATCAGTCGACAAGGGTTGGCCCGAAAGCATTGATACTACTGTTCATGCTGATGCCGATGCACAGACATTGGAAAAAAATATACAAAAGAGACAAAGAACTCAAAAGTATATAGACTTCTCAATTAAAGGTCTAAAACCCTTAGCTCTAAAGCAGAAAGCTCATGAATATATGATAGAAAACCCCAACGCAGGATGGGAAACGTTTACCAATCATATAATTACAAAAGATTTAACTTTTGTCGTCGCCACTGATCCTGCAAACAAAACCTCGACAGATAAAATGACATCATTAGAAACGCAAATAAAAGAGTTAACCAAATTGATTAAAAATCAAGAGGTTAGTGCCATAAACGAACAACATTCCTTTCGTCGCCGAGATCCGGATGTAAAAGGCAGACCAAATAATACACGCTTTTGTGATTATTGTAGGATGAACGGTCATTCTATCTCTAGATGCTCTAAGAAACAAGTCCAGGACGAAGTAAACAAACTTCGCAAAGAACTAACAATAAAAAATGATAGAAAAGTGTCATTTGAGACCGACTATAAACGTAACCGAAATTTCTCAAATCAAAGAAACTACAATCAAAACGACCAGTCAAGAAACAATAACTTTACAAATCAAAGCGGTCAATCAGGAAATTATGGAAATACTCCAAATTTCCAGAATCAAAGTAACTATGGTATTCGTTATCATAATAACTATAGCAAAAACGGTTATCCAAGAAATAATCAACAGCCATCATACAATCCCAATCCCAGGCGAAACGAGTCGTATGACGAAAAATACCCAAAACAAAATACTTTCAGAGAAAATGAACAAGCTGCAAAACAGCATTATGACCAAGAGAATAGGCAATCCAGCAGTGATCCTAGAGGTCGACAATATAATCAAAACGGATATAACCGAACAAATAGTCGTGATTCTGATAGATCAAGATCACCAGGATTCAGAATGAATCAAAATCAAGTTGAAAATACCCATTGGGTAGAAGAAGAAACTAACTACTGTAACGCACTGACAGATATGTTTCCTTTAAACTATTAAAGTCTCCGAAGCCAAGTGAAGATAGCAATCCAAAAGCAAGGATCTATCTCAATCTATATCATTTCGCCACCGGAGACACAAATAAAAATAGTGGACTGGAAATTGAATTTATGGTCGATCCAGGATCAACTTGTTGTATCATAAATGAACCAACTTATCGAGAATTAAACAAAATTGGACAAAAACTTACTCTTTTCAAATCCCAAAGTAAAGCCAAAACTTACAACGGATCTGAAATCCGTATGCTTGGCCATACATCAATCGTTTCATGCTTTGATACCGACGGAAAGTATCCAACAAACCACAAAGTCTGGATAACAGAAGAACGCACTGTTAATCTATTAGGAATCGACTTCTGTCATTTGTTCCTTAAAGCCCTTTATTTTGATATCCCAGCTGTTGAACTAAAATCCGAAAATGGTGTCATCTCATATGGCTTATTAAACAATGATAAGGAATATCCGAACGTTTCTAAAATAGAAACAATCCGACTTAAAGATCCCCTATATATCTCACACCGCTCCTCGCATCTGTATAAACATACAGCTGAAACATATTTTAAAAAAGGAACTACATTTCTTCCTCACAAAGACACGTGTAAAACTGGTTTAATTTTCATGAATACCGATTTTGATTGAAAATCAACAAGACCACCCAGTAACCATAAATAAAGGCGTACTCGGATATGCAGTAACAGATATACAAGGAGAAGAAAAAGTATATGCAATCCAAGATTGCGATGAATTTACAGCAACTATTCTAAACGAAAGTTCAGAATTTGACAGTTGTTTCATGTTGAACACAATTGTAAACACCACACAAGAATGTACAAGCCGAGTTTATGATTCATGTATAAAATACATCGATTTTCAACAACAATCTATATTCGAATCAAACATGCCAATTGCCCAATGCATTTCTGCTGATAGAGCCATGACCCAAGGCTTTGCCGAAATGGTCTGTCGACGATATACAAAAATGAGAGATTTTTGTAGCTATAATAATAGCAGCGTGAACGAAATCATCGTTTATCGAGATTCCAGTTCCGGACAGATAATTTACAATCTGATCACCAAGGAAAGATATTTCCAAAAACCTACCTATCAAAGCATTCACTATGCACTAGATGAAATGAAACATCATGCGATTGCTAATAATATTCGTTGTATTGCAATGCCAAAAATTGCTTGTGGTCTAGACAAAATGGATTGGAAAGAAGTTTCTAAAATCATCGTCGACGTGTTCAGATTCTCTGGAATCACAATTTATGTCTATGTACCTGGTTGGGAACTCAATAGCATGCCTGCGCTAGAAGTATTCGATACAGAAAGTGTATCAGAAATATTTGAACAAATCGGTTCTGATATAGTTCAGGCCTGTAACAGCGAAGGCAAACTAGCCACCGATTTCTCGGCTGATGCAAAGAATCTTTGCAGACCACTCGTTCGAGACCAGTTCCCAAAATATAGGAACAAAGAACAAAATGATCAACTGATCAAATTTATTGTAAGCGAAACATTTAAATCAGACGAACATTATACATCCAACCAGCAAAAAATTGATAGCACTATTCAATTCCTTTCCGAGTTTGATTTCACACAAAGTGATCTATCGGACGATGAGTTTGTCGATCTACTCCAAATCATCATACAAGACATTGATGTATATTCTCATCATAAGTACGATATTGGAAAAACGAAACACAAGTTCCATATACCCCTTAAAAAAGATGCCACATTCAAAAA